GGGGGGGGGCGGCCTGTCCGAGGGGGGGGCCTGGGCAGAGAGAGGGGGACAGTGAGAGAGCGAGGGGGGGGGCACGGGGTCAGTGGGGGGGCACGGGGACCAGCCTCCTGACGGGCAGGAGGGGTTTTTGGGGACAGCCGTGTCACAGAAGTCCCCAAGAGCTGGAGCGCAGCCAGGCATGCAGTGGGGGCCGGGGGGGGAGGCTGAGGGACCCCCCCCCCACACCGCCCGGGCGTTACCTTGGGCACAGGGTCCGGCGGGAGGGGCCGGGAGGGCGGGTCGGGCCGGGCCGAGCCGAGGGCAGTCGGCTGCGGAGAGAGGGAGAGCGGGGACAAGCCATGCAGCATGCGGAGACCCCCCTCCCGCCGCCAAGCAGAGACAGAGACCCCCCCCTCAGCCCTCAGCGCACAGCTCCGGGGCTCAGCCCTGCCTCGGGATGGGCACCGATCCCGGCGAGCGGCCGGTGCCAAGTGGCCGTGCCAGACTGCTCCTGGTGCCACAGAGTGGGGACCAGGCGGCCCGGGCGTGTGGGACCCCAAGGACCGGAGCGAACCCGCGGCACCCACCGCCCCCCATCACCCCCATCCTCACCTTGCTGCCACGCATGACCTGCAGCTCCGTGGCCTGACGCCACTGCGGGGGCCGGGGGCGCGCGGGGGGGACCCGGCTGCCCGACGGGGGCTCCGGCTGCGAGATCCTGCAGGGAAGAGGCAGGATGAGACCCCGCTCGCTCCGGGCGCTCGCGGGGACCCCGCACGGCGACCGAGCCACACCGAAACACCAGCAGAAGCCCAAGAGAAACGAACCCCTCGGCGCTGGAAGAGGAGACACCCCCGCGCCCCGGGGGCTGCCCCACACCCCGCGGGCACTGCCAGGGGAAGAGCGCAGCACCGGAGGCCTTGCGAAGCAGGACAGCTCGGGGACAGCCCCACGCCCGGGCGCCGGCGGTGACGTTACCCGCTCCAGCCGTCGGCGGCTCCGGGACCCAGGAACCGCACCCGGGTCTCAGCACTGTGGGGAGAAGAGTGGGGGGCTCAGCCCGGGGGCTGGGGGGGGGGCAGCGGCGGGAGGGGACGTGGGGTGACGATGCACGACGGGGCTGTGACCTGTGCTGGGGACGCACACGCAAACACACACGTGGACTGTCACACGTGCAGGGGACACACGTGCGCAGCGCTCGGTCGGCCGCCCTGGGGACACACACGTGTGAGCACACATGCACACGCCCCACTGACACGCTACACGCACGCGTGCCCACATGCAGGGGGTTCTGGTGCCTGCCACAGCACACACACGCAGAGGCGAGCGTGGCACCTGCGTGGCACCACAGCACATGCATGCAGGGGCACATGTGCCACAACACATGCACAGAGAGGCGTGTGCGCCACAGCACATACATGCAGAGGTGTGCACGCCACCTGCGTGCCACGGCACATACATGCAGAGGTGTGTGTGCACCACCTGCGTGCCACGGCACATACATGCAGAGGTGTGCACACCACCTGCGTGCCACAGCACATACATGCAGAGGTGTGTGTGTGCCACCTGCATGCCACGGCACACACGTGCATAAGCGAGCGTGCCATCTGTGCTACCTGCGTGCCACAGCACATGCACGCAGAAGTTAGCACGCCATCCGTGTGCCACCTGTGTGCCTTGGCACACGCGTGCAGAGGCATGTGTGCCAACACCCACGTGCCCCCCACATTCCCCCCCCGCATGTCCCCCGTCCCCAGTACCTGTACTGGCAGGAGGTGCCCTTGCCGAGCTGGCAGAGGTGCTTGTGCAGGCCGGCGCGGCGGGCGCAGCAGAGCCCCAGTGCCAGCGCCAGCCCCAGCAGGGCGCTCACCAGCAGGGCTGTGGGCAGGGCACTCCCCCCTGTGGAGAGTGGCACAGTGGCACGTCAGCCCCCGCCGTGGCCCGTCACCCCCCCACACACCCGGCACAAAGCCCCATTCTCTGCGCTCTCCTCGTCCCTCACCTCGCTCCAGCCCGGCGGGGCCGCTGTCCTGGCTGCCCCCCATGCCGGGGCTCTCGCAGGTCGGGGGGGCCCAGCCCCGCTCGCAGTGGCAGTGCCCGTGGTTGTTGCACACCTGGGTGGGTGACACCGGCCCAGCTCAGCCCCCCCGCAGGGCAGGTCCCCGCCTCCACCACCCGCTCCCCGGCCCCGCACTCACCCCGTGCCCATGGCACTTGCTCCGGCACTGCTGGTCGCCCAGCACGGACACGTCCTGGCACCGGCGCTGGAGGCACATCTGCAGGGGATTGGGGGGGTCAGCATTTGAAGACCCCCCCAGCCCTTTCCCTGCTGCCCTGGCACTCACCTTCCCGGGGCCACAGGCAGTGCCGGGCAGCACCATGGCTGCATCACTCACATCCTCATCCCCAGGCAGGGGGGCCCCTTGGCAGGACCCTCCTGGTCTGTCCCCACGGGTGCTGCCGTGCTGGCACTGCAGCATCCCGCAGCCAGCATCCCTGTGGGGACAGAGGGGTCAGGCCAGGGGGGATGGCAAGGGGGAGATGGCAAGGGATGGGGACATCACTCACTGCTGGGCGCAGGCGACGTAGGAGCCGTTGGGGAGCTGCCCACAGTGCCCACGTTCGTCCCCTCTGGCGTTCAGGGTGGCCATGCAGGAGCTGGAGACGGGGCTGGCGCCTGCAGCAGGGGACAACAAACCTCAGCACCCCCACCCTGCCCCTGGCCCCCCACCCTGGCCACGCCATACCTGTCCCCAGCAGCTGCTGGCACTGCCCCTCGTAGGTGGCACAGGCCCCGCTGTAGCAGCGCGCCCGCCCGCCGGCGCAGGGCTGCCCATCCTGCAGGAAGGTGTCGGGTGGGCAGTGCGGCGAGACCCCGTCACAGAACTCAGGCAGGTCACACTCCCCCAGCGGCTCCCGGCACAGGTACCCGGCGTGGCGCAGCTGCAGGGGGGGGGCACAGTCAAACAGGGACCCCCCCAAGTGAGTGGGGGACTTGCCCACCACGGGGAGTGGCTGTGGGTGCCCGTCCCCACGCACCTGGCAGTCCTGGCAGCAGGCGTCCCCCGTGGCACAGGCGGCCCCCGGCATCAGCTCGCAGGAGCTGCTGTTGCAGCAGAGATCCGTGCACTCCTGTGGCAGAGGGGCTGCGGTCAGCGGGTGGCACTGGCACCGGGCACTGGAACCCACCCTGCCAGCCCTGGACACCCTTGGGCACAAGGGGACCCCAGCCCTCCCGGAGCCCCCCCCTACCACGCTGAGGCCGCAGTCACATCCCTCGCCCTTCTCCAGGATGAGGTTCCCACAGTCGCTCTTGAACGGGAGCTGGGGCTTGGGCACGTTGGACAGGCACCAGCCCTGGCCCTGCTGCAGGCTGCGCTCCAGGTCCTGATGGCTGCAGTTGCTGAAGCTCAAGCCGGGAGTCAGCCTGTAGAGCCGTGAAGGGGATGGTGAGGCGGGCAGGGGGCTCAGCCCCGGCCCCCCCGCAGCCCTGCCCGCTGCCCTCACCCCGTGGGCGATGCCATGATGCAGCCACGGTCGTGCTGGAGGTCGCTGCAGTAGCAGAAGCGCCCGGGGCTGTCGTGGCGCATGCCCAGGTTGTGCCCCAGCTGATGGGCCACGGTGGAGGCAATGACCAGGAAGCTGACTGAGTGGTCCTGTGGGATGGGGGGGGGTCAGGGAGCGCAGGTGGGGTGAACACAGGGCGGGGGGATGGGGGTACTGACCATGCTGACCCCCCCAGAGCGCGCGGGGGAACACATGGAGCCTTGAGTCGACATCCCCACCGAGACATCGTCAAAGCGGACACCCCTGGGGGAGAGAGGGGAGGGGTCAGGGGGCTGCCACGGCCTCATGCCCCGTCCCCATCCTGTCCCCCACTCACGTCAGGAGCTGTGCGTTGTCGTGGGGCAGCCGGGGCAGCAGCTCCTCCTGGCGCCAGCGCAGGAACCGCTCCAGCGTCACCCGGGCGCTGCTGCCCACCTCGATCCTGTCGCCCTCGCTCCAGACCTCCACCGCCAGCAGGATCACCCGCACTCCCAGCGGCCGGAAGAACTGGGGGGGCACAGAGGGGTCAGAGACCCCTGGCATCGCAGTGGGCACCGGGCTGGGATCGACGGACTCGAGGGGGACTCACCACGTCCACCTGGTTGGCAATTTCCAGGGCCCGGACGCGAACACGGTGGAGGCTGGGGTAATTCTGGAACTGAGGGGACAGGGACAGGGGTCAAGGGGGGGGGGGGCCGGGGCCGGGGGGCAGGGGGGGGGCGGGGGAGGGGCAGCCCCTGTTCTGAACACACTGCCCAGCACTCACTGCAGCGTGGTCCACCACCATCACCAGCTCCACGAACCGCTGCTCCACTGCTGCCCGCTTGCCCTGGGGACAGAGCGGGGTCAGAGTGCTGATACAGGGACCCTCCCCGTGGGGCAAGACCCCCCCAAGGTGACCTACCCTCTGTGGCCTGGGAGGCTCTGTCACCTCTGCCCTGGGGCGGGGGTCCAGGGGGTCCTGCCCACAGGCCCGTGGTGCCACCCGGACCACCCAGGGACGGAACGCGACGTGTTGCTCTGAGGGGCCACTGTCTGGCTCCAGCTCGTAGCTCCTGGTCTCTGACAGCTGGAGGTGGCCACTGGGGAAGGGGAGAGGAGCTGGGAGATGGAGCCTGCTCCACCAGCAGCACAGTGGGAGTGGGCTCACAGAGCACCGTGCTCGGGGGCTCACCTGAGTCCAGCACAGGCACAGAGGTTGGCCCAGGAGTCGGGGAAGCCCTGCACTGTCCCCTGGTAGCAGCAGTTGTCCTGCAACAGAGATGGGGGGCTCAGAATCCAGCCCCAAGCTGGGGTCCCCCTGGGGCATGGGGACAGCTTGGGGACACCTCAGGAGACCACCACGCCCGAGCCATACCTCCTCACTGGGCTCCTCCATCACCCACGTGCCATTGGGCAGGTAGTAGAGCAGCGCCCCTGTGCCCTGCACCAGCTCCCTGCCAGAGACTCGTGTCACCCCACAGCAGGGACCCCCAGCTCACCCTGCCCTGAGCACACATGGGGGACCCCAGTACCTCCCACCCTGCTGCAGGTGCACCCCGGGACCCCCAACCCACCCGTGCCATGGATGGAGACAAGGAATAAGGGACCCCCATTCCAGGTGCACCATGGATATGGTGTGAGGACAGGACCCCCACCCTGCGTGGGTCCGGGACCCCCTTCCCACTCCCATCCCTGCTCTGCCCCAGACTCACCAGTTTTGCTCCAGCTCCAGCACCAGCCTCATCCCCTCCAGCTCCAGCAGGACCCTCAGCTGGGTGGGGAACCCCTCCTGCCACAGGCCGTGGTTAGGGGGGGACCCCCTGCCCCAAGCTGCGTGTTCCCCCCATCCCCACACACCCTCAGAAGCACCGTGACCCCGCGGGGTGTCGGGGGACCTGCCTGGCCCTGGCACGTGCCCGGAGGGAGAGGTCGGAAGGGATCCCCTGCCCAGCCCGGCCCCCACCCTGGCTCCCTGCAGGAAATGTCCCTCCCTCCCGGGCTCATTGTGCTGGGGAAGGGGGGGTTGGACGGAGCGGGGCCCCCACCCCGTCCCCCCGCGCTTCCTGCCCGGTGCAGCGCAGCGGAAGCGTCGCAGAGACTCCCAACGGCCACGGGGTGGGATGGGCCCTTCCTCCCCAGCTGGGAGGGGCTCAGGGTGGGTACCCCGACCCAAAAAGGTCCCTCCCAGCATCAGGAGGGCAAGGGGGATTTGCTGGGATGCCCCCCTCCCCGCTGCCCCTGGGGTTCTGGGTGCTGGGACCTCCAGGGACATGGCACCAGGACACTGAAAAGGGGGCAGAGGGAGGTGTTGGGGGGCAGGCAACCCCCCCCCACACACACTGTCACAAGCATAGGGGACCTCAGGGAAGTTGGTGGGGGCTCACCTGGGTCGCCTCTGCCAAGCTGAGCTTTTGGTTGTCCCGCAGGACCCAGGGGGTCACGGGCCAGTAGTGTCCTGGTTCTGCACGGTGCTGCCACGAGCTGTCACCTGCACAGGGCCCAGGGCTACTGTGTCACCTCTGTGTCACCGCTGTGCCACCCACCGCAGCCCCGACCTCACGGTGACCCATCATATCCCAGACCCCCACGGTCACCCATCACACTCCAGACCCCCACGGTCACCCATCCCATCCCAGACCCCCACAGTCACCCACTGCATCCCAGACCCCCACGGTCACCCATCACACTCCAGACCCCCCATGGTCACCCGCTGCATCCTGGATCCCCACAGTCACCCCCATCAAAGTCTGGTCATCCATCGCATTCCGGACCCCCACGGTCACCCACCGCAGCCCACCAGGGCAGGGGTTCTGTGTGGGGAGCAGGAACGGGGACCCCCACACTCACCCCACAGCAGCCACTACACCACCTCCCAGCAGAGCCAGGGGGGGACCCCTCCGTTTTTGGGACGGAATGGGCTCCCTGGCCAGGCCTTGCGTCACCTCGGCCAGCTGCCCAGTACAACCAGCGGAGGGACTGGGCAGGGCTGGGAGCCCGGCCCGGCTGACTCAGAGCCCCCCCCCTCGCCAGGTCTCGGAGGGACCCCTTCCCTCCCGGGCCCGGGGATGCCAGAGGAAGGTCAGGGGCTACACAGACCCCGCTCCCCACGCCCCACCAGCCCGGGGACAGCTGGAGAACTGGGACACCGAGGATCCCGAGAGGACACACCGAGTGTCCCGGGGGGGGAACACCGAGCATCCCCGGGAGGACACACCGAGCATTCCGGGGGGGACACACCACACCGAGCGTCCTCGGAGTGGGGGGCACCGAGCATCCCGGGGGGGCACACCGAGCATCCCCGGGGGGCACACCGACCTTCCTGGGGAGGGGGGACACCGAGCATCCCCGGGGGAGACACCGAGAGTCCTGGGGAGGGGGGACACCGAGCATCCCCGGGAGGACACACCGAGCATTCCGGAGGACACACCGAGCGTCCCCCGGGCGGCACCGAGCGTCCTCGGGGGCGGTCACCGAGAGTCCCAGGGAGGGGGCACCGAGCTTCCAGAGGGGCTGCGACCCCCGATCCCATCCCGGTCGGCGGTTCCCCGCGGGTACCCCCGCGATGCCCCGACGGGGGGGTGCGAGGCGCGGTCCCGACCGACCACCCCCCTCCACCCCTAGACCCCCGTTCCCCGCTCACCTGCGGCGCTGCCGCTGCTCCCGGTGCCGGCGGCGAGGAGCATCCCCGCGGCCAGGAGCAGCCGCGGCCCCATCGCCCCCGTGGCCCCCCCGGGCCGGCGGCCCCGCGATGCCCCGCCGCGGCCGCCCCCGCCGGCTCCCGCCGCGCATGGCCCCGGCCCCGACACCGGCACCGCCACCAGCCCCGCCCGGCTCGGCCCCAGGGGCGGAACTTCCCGCCCGGCCCCGTTCCCCCCGTTCCGCTCTGCCGGCACCGCCCAGCCCGGGGCGGGGACGGGGTGGGTTCTGTGTGCGCTGCCAGTGGCTGGTGATGCCCGGGGGTGCCGTGACGGAGACCCCGGTGGTGATGCTGCGGGTGGGACTCCTGCCCTCCTCGTCCCGAGACCACCGCCTGCATCCCCCTGGACAGCGGAGACCCCTGCCTTCATTACCTCATAGAGTGGAGACCCCCACCTCCATCCCCCGGGACAGCAGAGACACCCACCTTCACTATCTCATGCTCTGGAGACGCCCCCCTTCATCTGCCTGTACTCTGGAGACCACCACCTTCATCACCCCCTACAACAGAGACCCCCACCTTTATCCCCCAGGGCTGTGGAGACCCCCACCTTCACCATCCCGTACTCCAGACACCGCCTCATGCATTGGACACCTCCACCTTCATCATCCCAGGCAGTGGAGACCCCCACCCTCATTACCTGCACACCACACACCCCCACCTTCACCTCGGAAGACCCTGCCTCCATCCCCTCTACACCCCCTCTCTTCCCCCCATATCTGATCCCTACCCCCAGCAGCCACCCCCCACAGACCCCACTTCATGAGGGGTCACAGCCTTTACTGCCTGGGCCCCCTCCTCCCTGCTGTGCTGGGAGAGGCCGGGGCCGTGGGGCTGCTGGCCAGCCATGACTTGCCCCCCTCCCTCCAGCACCGCTCGCAGCCCAAGGCGCTGCAGGACTCCTGCCTAGTCCGATTCTTCATTGCCAGGGGCAGGAAGATGGTGTGGGCAAGGCTTTATGGCTGCCCCATCTGGGTCACTAAAGTGTTGTCCCAGAACAGGCTCCTTCCCTTGATGTGCAAGAGGCTGATCTTGCTTTGATTCGCTTCGATTTGATTTGAGATCCTGAGCCGAGGAGTTTGATTCATTTCCAGTTCGGCGCCAGGGGCCAATCCCCAACACAGCTCCCGACCAGCAAAACTGGTCACTGTTTCTACACTTTAGCAAACAGTCATTAAATGTTCATGGGCTACAAGTTACGTGGTTCCTCATTAGTTAGTATTTTATCTTCTATTGGTTCAATGATCCTCTCGCTTCTCGTGCTAATTAGGCCACATGCTCAGTTTTCTCCTTCTTTTGAGTCAGTGGGTTTTTTGACTCGGTGGCCGTGATCACCTCTTGCTGGAATTACCCAGCTTGCCCTTTGAATTGGTGGTGGGCTTTGTTTCTTCCTCATCATCTCGTGGTTGTGTGGCCAAGTGTCCGTGGTCTGTTGGTTCAGCGTTCTGCTGGCCTTGGTTCCCGCTGATGTATTGGCTCAAGTTTCTTCCCTCTACAGCTGCAGGTACTGAGGCCTATCAGACCTGCAGTACTGACACGTGTTAAATAGAATTCCTCTGTTTGGAAGCCGTACATCAGGGTGAGCAGCACCCTTGTGATGCAGGAACCGACAGCATTGGAGTGTTCCAACGGAAAGGTTGTGATGTGGGAACCGACAACGGTGCCCTGGAAGCGGCGCTCTGGAATCTGCTCATTCTGCCTGCTCTTGTCCCACGGAGAGGGAGCGAGAGGAGCAGCAGGAGCCTCAGTATGGTGCTGGTCTCAGGGTTGTGCAAAGCCCTGCGGCGGGAGAGGGGCCGGGGCAAGAACCCGGCACCGCGGCCTCGGGCCAAGCGCCATCCGGAGGAGCCAAGCCAGGCACTGGAGTTTGCCCGCAGTGTCGGCGCCCTCGTGCTGGGCCTGGCTCTGGCCAGCATTTATGGGGCAGTGGTGCTGCTGGTGCAGGGCCACGATGTCTGGTACTGCCTGTGCATCACCATCATCCTGGGAGCAGGGCTGGGGCTGGGCATGGCCTTCTCCAGGAACACGCGGATGATCGTGCTGCTGGCACTGCCCCACTTCTTCACCAGTGAGCAGCCGCGGGTCGGGGAGCTGGGGGGGTGCCGGGGGGTGTCAGCTCCCAGCTGAACCCCAGGATTTCCCTGTCTCTGCAGGGGAGGGGAAAATTCTGGTCGTGGTGCTGGCGCTGTGCATGACCGTGCAGGGCCCTGGCACCAACGTCCTGAACAACGTCTCCCAGCTCGCCAAGGCGCTGTCGTGCGGGGCTGAACTGGCCCAAAACCAGACGGCCGAGCGGCTGGAACGTGCCAAGGAGCCACTGCTGAGTGAGCAGGGGGCTGGGAGGAGGCAGGGGGACTGCAGGGGCTCTTCCTGGCCCCTCAGGGTGTGCTCAGGGCCCCCCCTCTCTGCAGACCTGCAGAACAAGATCAAGGACATCGGCCAGAATGCCAAGGTGGTGAGCGACCGCGTCCGCAAGTTCGTCCGCTCCATCATGGGCTCCACCAGACACATCGGTGAGCAGGGTCCCCGAGGTCCCCAAGGGTCTGCCCAGCTCCAGCACCCCCCACTCTGATTTCAGTCCACCCCCTTCTCCAACACCCACTCCCTGCCCACAGTCCGGATCCTGCGCAACGTCTGGCTGTGGCTGTCGAAGGTCGGCGACGTCTGCAACAAGGAGCTGGGCTCACCCTTCCACAGCTGCGTTCGCTGCATAGAAAAGGCCAAGGACGACTGTGAGCGCGCCCTCCCCGTCCTCTTCTTCATCTGCTACGTCGTCGTCGGCTTCAAGTGGCTCTGCAACGTGGCTGATGTTGGTGAGTTCCTGTCCCTCTGCAACGGGGGGTTTCAGGGGCAGTGGGGTGGACCTGTGTCCATCATGAGGGCCCCACCCTAACAGAGATCCCCCCTCTCCGCAGTTGCCGGCTTCTTCTGCATCATCCCACAGTATATCCAGGAGTTCGTCCGGGCAAACGTCGCAGCCCGTGAGTATCCCGGTGCCGTGGGGGGCCAGGAGCCCCTCTTGGCTCTTGCTCCCCACCCCGGCACAGCCTCTTGTCACCTCTGCAGCCATCACGGACGCTCTGAACCACGTCCGCCAGGAGTTTGAGTTCAACATCTCGGTCGTACACCACTTCAACGTCAGCCTCAACGCCAGCAAGAGCCTGGGGCAGGTGTCCCGGGACATAATGGAGGCCGTGCAGAACCACCTGGAGCCCTACCACCACGGCCTGGAGGTCTTCTCCTACATCTCCTTCTGGGCCATTCTCTACTTGTGCTTCCAGTGAGTGGGCCGGGGTGCTGCTCTGGGGACGGGCACCCGTTGGTGCCGGTGCTCAGCTCGCCCGCCGTGTCCCCAGCGCGATGCGGTACCGGCGCCGCTTCCTGTGGGACGACACCTTCGACAACGTTTACATCACGCGGCGCTTCGTGGAGCTGGACCTGCGGCGGGCGGAGCAGGGCAGACCCACCGTGCTGCCCCTGACGGCGCGGGAGAGGGGCCGCTACATCCCCCCAGGTCAGCCCCACCCCGGGTTGGGGTCCCCCAGCCTAGCCCCGAGCGCGGTGAGGAGCCGGGGGTTCCTGGCACGGCCTCACGGTGCTCTTGTGGCCGTCCAGCCGCGCTGTGGCTGTCAAAGAAAGAGAGGCAGCAGTATGGGATTCAGCTGATGGGCTTGCTGCGCCACGTGCTGCTGGGGTTCAGCATCATCCTGGCCGACTACAGCATCTTCTGGCTGCTTGACCTGTTCCGGCACCAGCTGAGCGCGGAGATCGTTGCCAGGGGTGAGCAGCACCCACTGCACCGAGCAGCACCCTCGGGGGCTGGGGCTTTGGGGTGACTGTGGGACTGAGCCGCTCTCGCCCCGCAGCGCCATCGACAGTGGCTGTCAAAGTCAACGGGACGGGCTACACCAGTGAGATCTTCCAGGACCTGGTCTCTGCCTTCAACGCGCTGCAGGAGGGCCACGTCTCGGTGCTGTCCCAGGTCTGCCTCATCGAGCCCGTGGAGCCCGACCACAGCACCTACATCACCATCGGTGTGCAGACAGGGGGGCTGCGCCCTCAGCGACCCAGGTGGGGTGGGGGGGCGTAAGGGGGGCTGCCCCTGTGCGACTTGTCTTCTTCCCACCAGGAATCCTGTACGGTCTCTGGCTTTTCATCACCATCTTTGGCTCCTACATGGCACGCCTGCGCCAGGCAGTGTGTGCCGCCTACTACCCGTCCCGTGAGCAGGTGAGAAGCCCCCCGTGTGTGCATGTCCCACTCTACACCCCCCCTCAGCAGCCACCTGCCCTCACCCCATCCCCTCCATGCCAGGAGCGCATGGTCTTCCTCCACAACATCATCCTGGCACGGCGGGAGTGGATGGCATTCGCCCTGCGCTCAAGTGGCACACAGAGCACGGCTGATGGTAGGAAAGGCAAACTCTTCCTCATCCTCATCTCCAGGTAAGCTCTCACAAGGGATGGAAAAGGGCAGCAGCATCCTTGGGGGTCCGTGGCAAGGACACCCAGGATGGCGTTGCCCCATGGAGCATCACCCTGTGCCCTCAGGTTCCCTGTCCTTGCCCGCTTCTCTCGCTTCTTTGGCATTGAGCAGAAACACTGCCTGGCCTGTGGGGTGGTGGAGCAGCCGGGTTTCAGTGCATGCATCACGCCCAGCTGCAGAGGTAGGAGCCCCTCTAGCTTGGGGATCCCCTCCCCAGAAAATGCTGTGTCCCCTCTGACGATCCTGTTTTCCTCAGGGTTGTATTGCAGGGAGTGCTCCAGAGCCCTGAGAAACACCTGCTCTGTCTGCATGGCCACCCTGAACTACGCGGACTCTGTGGACGAGGAGATGTGAGCAGAGGGGTGCTGGGAGCCCACTCGAGCCTGGGGGGCTGCTGTGGGTGGGGGGGGGCTGCAGCTCACCCCTCCCTTCTCTCCCCCCACAGAGACTCCAGCGATGAGGAGATGCTTCACTACAAGGAGCAGGCTGAGAGCAGGGACAGCGAGCTGCGGGAGGTGGTGGCACCCTCGGCCGGGACAGAGACACGCAAGAGGAAGAAACGGCCCAACACAAGTGAGATCCCCTCCCACCCTGCTCCCGGCCAGGGCTGACCGTGGGCAGTGGGAGCAGGCAGGGCTGACACCTCCCTCCCCACGCAGCCCTGAAGCGAGTGGTGGTCGCAGTCCTGCCCGGCCCGTGCAGCAGGTTCCTCTGGAGCCGGCGGGATGAGCATCGCTGCAGCAAGATCTTCCTGGGTGCTGGTTTGGGGATGCTCCTCAGCCTCGGTGAGTGTGTCCCGCTGCCGGGCACGCCATGGAGCCGGTGGCACCGGGAGCTCAGGACGCATTGTTGGGTGTTTCAGGACTCTGCCAGCTGCTCATCATGCCTCTGGACCTGTCAGAGTCATACAGGGTGAAGCTTACCTGGGGGCTGACGGGTGAGGATGTGGCGGGGAGGGGACGGGGGTGATGGGGGGCCATCGGGAGACCCAGGGGGTTCTCTGTGGGGCCGTGGGGTCAGCTCTCTGCTCCCCACAGGGGTGACTGCCTTGGGCTGGGCCACGTCCCCCCACTTCCGCTGTGCCAACCTGCTCATGGTCCCCAAGTTCCTGGGCAAAGAGGGTCGGCTTTACGTTCTCTCCTTTGTCTTCGCCGCCATCTACCATGGTAGGGTCCCCCCAATGTCCCCGTGCCCCCCCAGTGGGGTCCTGAGAGCTGGCGGGCTCTGAGCCACCCCTGCTGGCACCAGGGCCCGTGGCCAACCTCTGGCACAACCTGATGGAGGCGAAACGCTCGATGGACTGCGTGGTGGATCTTCAGGTCAACCACACGACCGGTCTCTGGGAGGTGTCGACGTCCCCCCTGCGCCGCGTGATGGAGGAGCTGGTGGTGAGGGGGGTGTGGGGAGGGGGCAGCGGGGGGCTGGGGGAGCGGGGCCGAGCCTCCGCGTGCGCGGGTCTGCGTGTGTGTCCCGGCAGCGGAGCGGGGAGACGCTGAACGCGGAGATGCAGAACGTCTCACACGCCTTCATGGAGCTGAACGACCAGGTGGCCAGCAACGAGGGCTACGACCTGCGGCAGGACAAGGGCAAGGGCACCAAGCGGGCCCGCAGCACCCAGGAGCTGTACGAGAGGAAGACCAAACATCGCTGTGCCAGTGAGCAGGACGGGCAGGGGCTGGCAGCACGCAGGGCAGGCGGCTGCCAGCCGAGGGGGGGGCTGCCCCAGACCCCCTTGCTGGCCCCGCAGGCACCCCAGATGAGGTCTGGGCCAGCAGATCTGGGTCTGCACAGGCAGCTGAGGGTTTCTGCCCCCCCCAGCTGTGCTCGAGAGTGGTCGTCAGAGCTGCTTAGACTATTTCCAAGAGCTGCACAGGGCCTGCATGGAAAAAGTGTCCGTGCCCCTCATCAACCACGTCCTCTGCCTGCCCATGCGGCTCGGGTTCCTCTGCCAAGCAGTCAACCGTGAGTGATGTGTGGGACCCATTTCCCTGTCCCTGTCCTCCCTTGAGGGGCAGCTCCAGTTCTGCCCCCCATAGATCCCGGCAGCCACAGCCACCACGGTCCCCATTCCGTCCCTGCAGTCATGAGCTCCTGGTGCGAGGAGAGGATCCCTGTGGACAGCAACTTCGGGAAGGTGTTCGACCAGGTGAACGACACCGTCCAAAGCCTCGGCCAGGAATTCACTGCCAGCATCGTCTACAAGGTGGGTGCTTGGGCACCCTGTGGGTGCCCGACCCCTGTGCCCAGGGCCAGGGTGGGGGCCACATCCTGCCCTGCCCCATGGCCCCTCCACTGCAGGAGAAGCACCAGGAGATGGTGGTGGGCATCAACATAGTGGAGCAGCTGCAGGAGGAGGTGACCTCGCAACTGCGGGAGGAAGGCGCCCGCCTGGGCTTGGCCGTCTCCTTCTTCCGCCTGTTGCTGTCCTTCACCTTCCTCTTCGTCTTCTTCTCGTGAGCCTTGGGATGGTTGGGGGGTGGGGGGTGACACCCCTGTGCCAGCTGTGGGGCACAGAGGGTTGGGGGCCCCCTTTAGCAGCAGGTCGGGGGGATATGAAAACAGGGGGGTGTGAAAACAAGGGGGTGCGTCCTCAGGGGCTGTACCTGGTGCCTCCTTTGCCCTCCCTGGACCTGTCCTCTCTCGCCAGGGCTTTCTACTACACCTACCGGTACTGCCACGACATCGGCTTCGACAACTGCTACATCACCACCTACTTCCAACAAATCGATGCCCGGCGTGGAGAGCAGGTTGGGCAAGGGGGAAAGGGGTGGAGGGTGGCCTCCCACGCCCGGTGAAGGGTTCTGGGGGGCTGTGCTGAACCACCCTGCTGCCCCTCACCCAGAACAAGCGGACGCTGCTGCCCCTGCTCCGGAACGAGGCCTCGGCTTTCGTCTTCCCGTGCCGCCTGGCCCTGCAGCGACCTGAGCTGAAGTACATGGTGAGGGGCTGGGGAGGGCTGGGGGGGTCGGGGCTGGGGGGGGGAAACGGGCTATGACACACCCTGCTCCCCGCAGGTGATGGAACTGCTCAGGTGCATCCCGCTCCTGCTCTTCCTCATCTTCGTCTGTGGCCTGGACCACTTCATCTTCAGCGTTCTCAGCATCATCCAGCACCATTCCTTTGTGCAGTATTCCTACCAAAGTGAGCCCAAGGCCCTTAGGGGCAGCCCCACGTCCCCTCTGTGCCCCCGCAGGGCAATGCAGGGGGGCCCCCCCAGCCCTCCCCCTGCCTCCTCAGCCTCCCCACCCTCCCGTCCCACAGCCAGCCACCACATGTCCGTGACCGTGATGGGCAAGTCCCTGATGGCTCAGCTGCTGCGGAGCACCATCGGGGCCCTCAACACCTCCTTCGGCACCCAAGTGGAGACCTCCAACCGCGGTGAGCCCCCGCCGGGGATGGGACCCCGGGGATGGGCCCCTGCCTGCTGCGGGGGGCTCACGCCGGTGCCGTGTCCCCAGCCTGCCTGCCAAACGCCCACGGCATGACGAGGGAGCAGTACCTGAACACTTGCCTGCCCCTGGCCGCGCTGGCCCTGCTCTGCCTGGCCCAGGTCTACCCGTTCCGCCTGCGCCGCGCCATCGCCGCCTTCTACTTCCCCAAGGTGAGCGGCCCCCCGGCCCCGCCCGAGGGCCTGGCACGGCCTGGGGGGGGCGAGTTTTGGGGTGGGGTTTGGGGTGGGCCGGTGCCCCCAGCCACCCACCCCTCACGGCCTTCGCCGGCGCAGCGGGAGAAGACTCGGGTGCTGTTCTTGTACAACAAGTTGCTGCGGCAGAGGAAGAATTTCTTCCAGCTGCAGCGGAGACGCGTCGCCCGGAGAGCACGGCAGCCCCCGGGGCTGGTGAGTGGGGTCGGGGACATGGCAGGTTGAGGAGTGGGGCATCGTTGTCCCCCGAGCTGCTGTGGGGTGGCTGCTCTGCCAGAACCCCACACGGGCCCTTCCTGACCGCAGGGGAAGTCGCTGCTGGAGTGGTGCAGCCAGCATTGGCCTTGGCTGCGCCGCTGCCAGCGCCGGAGCTGCACATTGTGTGGGACGCCCGGCACCCCCTGGCACCAGGTCTGCCCCACTCCCGGCTGCGGTGCCTTGTACTGCGATCGGTGCTGGACGGAGGCGGGCGGGACGTGCCTCGCCTGCAGCCCCGAGGAGCCCGGGCTCGTCCAGGACAGCAGCGAGGAGGAGGAGGAGCCGGGGTACGCGGGATGAGGGGGCCGGCAATAAAGGCTGTGATCCCCCTGCGTGGCGTGAGGTGGGGTCTGTGGGGTGCGTCTGCTGGGGTGGGGATCTGCTTTGTGTGTGATGCTGAAGGATGGGGGGGTCTCTGCTGCACGGGAGGATGGAGATGGGGGTCTCTGTCACAGCACCCTGAGCATCACAAGCCGCTCCCAGCACACACAGAGCTGCCCCCCCCCCCCGCCCACCACTGCCTTCCCAGGGCTGGGGGCACGATGGAAACACAGATGGGGACACCGAGGGGGTTGTGGGACTTTTGGGGACAGGGATAGGTCTGGGCGCACTGTGGGGGTGGAGATGGGGGCACCGTGAGTCTGGGGACAGGGACATCGAGGGCTGGATGGCACCACGGGGCTGGGTTGGGGTGTGGAGGGGCTGGGACACCCTGGGCGTGGAGATGGGGACACCAAGGTGCTGAAAGGGGACATCAAAGGGCTGG